ATTGAGCTAAGGACCTTGAAGATGGAGAGATTTTGTTGGACTATCCAACTGGGGTCCTCATACTTGCAAAAGGAGGTGAGAGGATCAGAGACATTTGAGGAAGTCTCCACGCTGCTTCTGCATGGAGGGGCAGTAAGCCGCATCAGGCAGGAGCCTCAACTAGCTTGGCAGTGGAGGGAAGCAGATTCTTTCTTAGAAGAGTCTGGAACTCAGCCCTGCCCATACCTTGGTTTTATTAGCTCAGGAAAACCTATTTTCAGACTACTGCTATCCAGGAATATAAAAATATGAATTCATTCTGCTTGAAGTCACTAATTGTGTTGACTTATGACCCTGGAAACTGGACACCAGCCCTCTAAATGTCAGCCTTTGTGCCAGTGACTCTGGTCAGAACTGAAGATGGGGTCGTGACTTAGCCATGGTCTCGTGGACTAGTGAATATTGCACTGAAAGTTTGCATACTACTTGTAGAGTTATTTAATTTTGGTCACAAAGATAAATAACTGTAGAGCAGAAACTCGGGGTACTCGAGAGTCTCTAATGGACTCCTATCTAGTGAGTGAGCCACAGACCATCCATGAAGAAAAGCCAGGCCCTGAGCTTGGAGCAGCGGGTCCTATAGAAATATAGCGGGAGCCACCTGTCAATCATTTTAAATACTTCAGTGTCCCACATTAAAAGAATATTTAAAAGGAATGGCGAAATTAACTGTAGCAATGCAGATACTCTTTGACTTACTACGGGATTATGTCCCAATAAAAATCATCATAAACTGAAAATATCGTAAGTGGAAAGTGCATTTCACACACCTGACCCACTGAGCATCCTGGCTCAGCAACACAGCTCACACCAGAGCATCAGCTGTTTCCTGAATCACTTTTGCACCGTTGAGAAGTCTAAAATCCTAAGTCGGTATGCTATTCAACCCTGTATCACAAAGTGCTATTGTTTTGACATGTCTTCAATACAAAACATTCTTCAGATCTTAAAAGTTAATTATTTGAAATCTGGTGGATTTTTTTTTCACCTAAGTCACATTTCATTTGGATTAGGCACACTTCAAGAGCTCACAGCAAAAACGTAGGCCGCAGCCTCCAGGTTGAGTAGCAGCACTCCAGAGAAAGTGTGAGATTGCCTCCCTGGGGCAGGTGTCGGGCAGGATTCAGAGTGGGAGGGGAGGGGGGGAAGGAAAGAGCTTGGGGGCCAGGGAGGGGGAGCATTGTGAAGATCCAAGGGGTAGGAGCAGGTTCACTGGAGGAGTAAGAGGCAGGAGATGGCCGAAAGGCAGCCCCGGAGCATGAAGCAGGGTAGGAAAGAGGGCGTAGGACCACACAGGCCTGCGGGGCTCCAGCACAACAGCAATGGAAGCCTGGACAGGCTTTAAGCCGTGGATCAACAAGGTCAAGTTGAGCCTTTTAAATGATCTTTGAGGACAGACTAGAGAACATTTTAATGGGTTAGGGAAGACAGGAGAGGACCATAAATATCAGAAATAATAGAAAAGGCAGATCAATCCTGACCCTCTCCCCAGGTCATCTCTTTGCTCTAAAGGTGAAGCAATAAACTGATCAGCTTGCAAAGTACCATGGAAAGCCCAGTGAGCTCATGAGGTTGCATGGAGTCTTTTTATATTACTTTCTCCAGAACTAGGCACAGGGCTGAGCCCCGAGTGTCTCTCGCCAGCAGCAGCAGCAAGGCTTCCTGAGCTCCCTGATGTGCCACACTGCAAAGCCTTTTGTTTACATTTGCTCTTCTAACCTACCTGGTGATTCTACCAGGCAGATATAATTGCCATCTCCACATTACAGATGAGATCATAGAGGTTTGGGGAAGGTGAGTGACGGCTGTGGGCCTGACCCAGGTGTCAGGCTCAGGGATTCTACAGGGGTGGGTCCTGTCCTGAGGAAGGGGTACCTGCCTCTGCATTGTGAGGAAGAGGCTTTTCCAAGCCTAAATCCAAGTAGCAGAGATCTCTGTTCTTTTTGCCCCCTTTGAACTGAATGAGTGATTCTTTTTTCCCTGACCTGTCCAGCTCTATTTCAGAGTCCTCCAGAGGCCTATTGGACTCTGAGACCCAGGAGATGTCACTCTCCTTGTCCTTGCTCATTTCAGGGTCCATGCCAGCATTTAGAAGCCCATGCAGTCTCAGCCAGAGTGCCCCTTCTGACCCACATCAGCCTCACCGGGTCAGTGACCCTCCCAACTACAAGAGGTCATTGGACAGATAGAAACAGAGGCCAGGGATTGACGGAACTGTGTCCCATCCACACAGCGGGGCTGTCCTCTGCCCTCACATCACCTCCATCTTTCCTAAAGCCCTTGACCCTCAGTGTTTGGATTTATCTGCTGACTCATGGGCACTTTAAAAGTATTTTCTATTTCTTATCTGTTCCAAGTGAGGTTCAGCTTCCATTATGTGGAAAAGACCCTCAAACCATTTTCCTCTCTTGCTCTTTTTTGAATATAACACTAGGTGTGTTTCTTGAATGAGAATTGTTTCCCCAGATGAGTTTTATATTCAATTAGCCATACATTTTTTTCTGTGCGTGTGGGGGGGGGGGATGCATCCACGTACAGAAAGACCTGCACATACGTGTGAACACATTTGGTTGACTTAAATGAAAAATCCAATGTGCGGAAACTCTTTTTTATTTATTTGTTTGTTTATTTGTTTTAATATAGAGGAATGAAATTTCCCGGGGAGCATTGTAAGGATCATTGAGATCAACTGTATTTACAGATCCTCATCACTCTTTCCCTTGCTCTGTTCTGCCAAATATTGCCTCAACAGACTATAAAGAACACAGGTCAAAAGGATCTCAGAAATCCCCTGTCCAGAGCATGTCTGCCCTTTATTTTAAGCCATCTTAAATTTATCCTTATCGTACCTAATGCCGCCAGTATTCTAAAGGCCTTGGTTGCATAAGCAATTTCTCCATTCTGCAGTGACTTATCTGACAGTTTCCCATTTACTTTCTACCTATTATTGCACTCGACTTTGAATTTCAAAACCCCAGTGTGGCTTGAAAAAGACTTAAAGGATCTTGAAGGATGGAATCAGAAACCTAGATTAGCAATTACTAGAAACCTGCCAGAAAGTAGGATTTTTTTTCTCCTATTTGGGCTGAAGTGAAGAATTGAGGCTCAAGTGTAATCTAAAAGCATCATATAATGAAGCTGAAAGCCCAGAAAGGTGTCTTTTATATTTCACTCAACTCTCTGCCTGACGTCACCATTTTGTTCTCACAACAGAATGATGCCTTCGACTAGGATTAATGCTGGGGAAATACCAGCATTAATCCTCACTTAGGCTGAATGCAAATGCGTTTTCTTTCTGTCTTTGCTCTTGGCTTGTTTCCTCTATTTTGATCCCAAGGAACTGTGTGCCAGGCTATGCACCCTACCACCTGAGCCGCTGCACCCCCAGGAGTCCTCTGCCCTAGGCGAGGACCGCAAGTGTTCATCCTGACATTGGGTGGGTTTCTTGGGCTGTGGAAATCTGGAGGAAAAAGGCAAAAGGCACAGTGCCGACTTCAGCAGCAGGATCGCTGGAATATGCCTATCCTCCATCCCTAGGGAATCTCTATAGGTCCTGGGGGGTCCTCTTTATTCCTCATTGCTGCCACTCCTGATGTGTGTTCTGGGCCATCTGCTCAGTGCTGCTCAACAAGCCTGTACTCTGTGGTTCATTTTAACCCAACATCACAATGAGAATAGATAACACTATATCAAGTATGTCACATGCAAAGCACTGACCTGGCTGCTCAGTCAATAACAATTTGTTTACCCTTGAAAGCCATCCTATGACATGATTATTATTATTATCCCACGTTACAGGTGAGGACATTGAGGCCCCAAGAGGTGAGACAAATTTGCCCAACATTACACAGTTAGTTGACGGTGGGATTAATTTACAAATCAGTGTCCTTAATCACTGGCCCACACTACCCCTGCCACGGGGTGCTGATTCCAGGCTCAGTGCTGAGTGCATATTTTCATATGATCTCCAAGTCACGTGGCTGGCGTGTGTGGGAGCTAGACTAATGTATTTCCTCATTGGACTGATACTGATTGAGCTTCTCTTAAGCACTATGCTCGATGTAACTGATACGATGAGGAGAACAGATACAGCTTCTACCTTCATGAAGCTCTCCGTGGGAGAGGCAGATGTTAGGCAAAGGACTCCCAAAGTCAAGGTGTCATTTCAAAGTTGGAGGAGAAGGCAGAACACGAGGAGGCAGGGCAGGACTCTGATCTAGCCGTGGCTGCAGTGTGAGAAGCAGGGGTGTTTCTCCCGGAGGAAGGAGCATCTAAGGGAAGATGGGCAGCCAGGTGGCAATGCAGAAGGGGGAGACAGGGAGCGGGCAGGGGGAGCCTTTTCAACAGAGCAGCCTGTGTGCAGGAAGCAAGGAAGCTTTGTGACCCTGGGGGCACCCTGTGGCAGAATGCTGACAGCAAGGAGGGGAGCCACTGGGAATGCCTTGAGAGCAACAGGAGGACTAAGGAGTTGTGGTCCACCTGACTCTAAAGTGATGCTTTCGCCCCCCTGTTCCACCCACCAGACCATTCTAGCAGGTTCTTGGCAGCTGGTTTTGATTTTCTTTTTTCATGAAGCCATTGGTAAAAAGCACATTTTTCCAAACCTCAGAAACATGGCTTGTGATGCAGACAGACATAATTCCAATTATCCCCGTGCTTCATCGCCACTTAGAATTTCAATGAGGGCCGAATTTGTGGAGGAGATAATGCAGGCGAGAGGCCTGGTGAACAGGGACCCGCGTCGTTAGCCTTCCTAATGGGGCTTATTTGGGACGCTGCCTGCGCCTCTCACAGCGCTTACAAGTGTACCGCTTTTAAGTCCGTGCCAGGCTCCCAGGAAGCACCCACGTTGGTGATAACTCTGGCTCCTATTTGGGCTCCTTTTCTTCCTACCCCAGGCTTCAGAAGGATCTGTGCACCATGCAAATGTTTTATGTGCCTATGTCCCTTTTCTCTTTCAGGCCAGAACAAAATCTGCTTCATCCCAGGCATGGTAGGACCTATATTAGAGATGACACTGATCCCTGAGGCTGAGCTCCGGAAAGCCACCATACCAATCTTCTTCGACATGATGCTGTGCGAATATCAAAGGAGCGGGGATTTCAAAAAGGTAAAAAATGAGGCCGGAAATTCTCACCAGCATCCCTAATTCCCAGCCCATTTCCTCATAATGATACCCTTGTTCCGTCTGCCTGAGCTTCTTTCAGAGGCTCCATGGCAGGAGAGGGACATTCATTCATGTGCCCGGAATGAGCTGGCATATCAGATTTGGTCAGTGCTCCATCACGCCGTTCTGCCCCAGGCCAAGATGAAAATGCCTGTCTTGCTGTCATCTGCTGGGTCCCTTCCCAAGGGTGTTAGAGTCCTGCTTTCCTCCCTAATGGCTCTGGTGGGTTCCTGCCCACCCCACTCTCTCCACTCCATTGTCTGGCGCTTCATCTTCCCAGATGACTTTGAAGATCTACATTATCTAGAAAAAGAAAACCCTGCCAGCCAGGGGTTACACTCGGCCCTACATCAAATGGACAGCAAATGAAGTTAGAGGCACTGTCACTTGGAAGGCATCTGTCATGTGCACAGGGACAGGAGGCTTCCCAGCACAGGAGCCAGAGCCTCTGTAAAATGCCAGGCCTGTGATTTTCATTGGCACTCAGGTCTCGTGAAGAGATGGGACCACTACATCCGGGCCCACTGGCTCCCAGAAGCTCTGGCAGAGGAAGAAAGCACTGGTTTTCACAGTGGGTGCTGGCACCTGGCCCGTTTCCCTCCAGGAGGAAGGGTGGCCCCCAGGTCACAGCAAGACAGCCCCAGTGCTTCCCAGGGTCCTGCCCCTCCCCTTCTGCCCACCTGCTCACCTAGTTCACCCCCAACTGGCTCCTCCTTCCATGTTTCTGCCCGTCACCCCGTACCATGTCCTACCATCAAATAATTGTATTTACAGTGCCTTCTTAAAAGGCAGCAGATTCCAAACTTCCCCCTCCTTAGGATGCTTCTCATTGATTCTCTGATCCCTGCTGGTGGAAGTCCAGACTCGCTGGCCGGGGATTCCCAGGCCCTGCCTGCTCTGCTTCTGGGCTGAAGCCTTCAGCTGCTCCACGTGCTCTTCCCGCTCCTCACCTACTCCCCCTCCCCTGCCTGCTTGGCCTGGCCTAGCGGGGTGGGTGTCCTTCTTCCCAAGTTTCTTCCTGTTACTTCTCTGCATGTTCACCAGGCAGCCTGACCACATCTCTGGACCTGTAGAGCCTATCCCAGGAGCCATGTCCATGAAGAGAGCTCTGTTCCCTACTCGTGTCATTTCCAGTGTAGATAAAATATTGCACACTGCCTGGCTTTATACGCTGGGCCATGCTCTGATGTCTTCCTGGACCTCACCTACTAAGAAGAATGAGGACGAGAACTGTGGCTGACATTGACTGAGTGTCGATCACGTGTCAGACATTATAAGTGCTTTCTATGCATTACTTCTGGTAGCCTTTTTTATTACAACTCCATCTGAAAGGTGAAAAAGCAAAATGGAGAGGTGAGATTATTTGCCCAAGTCACACATCTAGAAAGTGCAGAGCAGAGGCTGACAGAGTTCACCTGATTCCTAGATCCTGCTGCAACTACTGCACTATCCAGCCTCCAGACGGCCACAGTCAATGTCGGCTCAAGGAATGGGAGCCATCCTCTGGGGCAGTGCTTTCTCAAACATGGTCTGTGGTGCACAGTCCAATAGGGTGCTCCAGGGAAGAAAGTCCAGGTTAGATACCTTTGGGTACCACTGAGCATCCTAACTCCTCTTGGAGATTCCCAGTGTGTGCTAACACCATCAAGAACTGAGTCGCTCTGTAGCAAAGGAACCTGTTTAATTTCTCAAATGTGTGTATGCAAGAAATACTCTATTGGATCTGCTCTTCCTCCAATCCCGCTTTGGAGACAATTGTTGTAAGAAGGGTGTGACTAGTTTGCTGTGACATTTCCTCTGTGAGTGAACCCTTCCCCTTGGGGATTAGAAGGAGCTCTCTAGTCCCAGAAAGGCCAGTGACCAGCTGCCCCTTCTTCAAGAAACCTCAGAAGAATGCTAATTCTTCTAATTAGCTAATTTGGCTGAGGAATTCAGAGGGAGGAAGAAACCATAGTGACCAGTTGGGCTGGGGGACAGGAGGTGACAGCCCAAACAGGCTGAGTGTTTGAAATGAGACCTGTTCCCTGCCTGGATGGAGGCATCCTCAGACATCTGCTGGATTTTAGGTCTTCAGAGGCTTGAGGCTGGGGCAAGTTCCCTTCCCTGGAGGATTCCTGCTCCTGGCTTTCTCGGGATATACTGCCCATCTGTTTGGGGTGTGTGGGGTCCTTCCTTGGGCACCTCATCCAGGAGTGTTTCCATGACAATGGGATGTTTCCATGTTCTCCCRTTGCTTCAATTCGCTGTTCTCTTATCAAAAAAGGCAGAACAACCAGGATGACTAATGGGGCAGCTGCCCAGGTGAAAACCAGCTGGGTACTTGGTGGGTGCCCAGCTGTGAGACAAGCAGGCCCTGGCATGTGGCTCTAGGCCCAGAGTAAGCTGTCCTGAAAGGTGTCCCCAGGAGAGGGGGTGGCAAGGCCCTCATGATCGCCAAACAGCCCTGATCCTGATGGCCAGAACCAGATCTGGGGACTGGAGTCCAGCAGACATCATGTGCACGCTAGCTTTAGTGTGTCATCCAAGAACTGGGTGCCTGGATATGACCCGGCTCCCTTTTTAAAACTCAAACATATGTTAAAGGAAATAGCAGATCCAAGAGGAAAACTTAGCAAGCCCTGTGTCCCAGTTCACACTAGTCTGTCTGTCTGGCCGAGACCAACTTCCTGCCAGTCTCTTGTCCTCATGCCCTTGTGGGGGGGGGGGGCTTCCTTTGATGTCCTTGCTAGACATCCTTTAGCTCTGGCCTCAGCCTTGGGGGAAAATGAGCCTCTCTCCTAGGTGGGGGATTCATGCAGAAGCAAGAGACAAAGATTTGCTCAAATGAGACATAAGGGACTGGAGCCAGGACAGGAAGGTGTTAGACTCTGAGTGGCTCAGGGGTCTGGGGACTAGAGAGGAGGAAGCCCTGGGGCAATCTCTCTCTCTACTCTGTTTCTTTTGCTATACCAATGCCAGATCGCCCTGTCTCTTCCTCTAACCCAAATTCCATAGATGGTTGACTGACACCTTTACTCACCGTGAGCACAACCCTTCATCTCAGGCCATTTCAAGGTCTCTGGATGTCCCATCCCTGGTGCACTCTATGATTCACTTGATGGCGGTGTGGACAGGAGGGGCCTTGGGATGACCACCCTGGCTGGTGTGGCYAGTCTGTGCCATTGTGCTATGCAGAACAAGGGCCATGATGGGACCTCTCGGCCCTGAGGTCCCAGTGCCTATCGAGTGCCTGACATGCATGTGGCGGCACTGTGTCGCTGTACCCAGAATGAATGGAGGTGCTCAGACACCCCCCACCCCAGCACATCTCAGGGCAAGAGCTCTCAGGGAACAGCATTCCAGGGGATGTTCTATACAACGCCATTTTGCACAGAGCCCTGCATGAAGGCAGGAGAACAAGAGGCCTATGGGAAGCTGGCATCGGAAGCTGGGGTTGCCCGCCACTACTTGAGAAATCCCCTGCAGCTGGGGAGACCAGTGGGCTTTCTGGTCGGTTCTTTGAGGAAGGAGGGATGCAGGCTTTCTGGGTGTCGTTGGTAGGAAGGAGTGGGTTTCTTAGGGTGATAAGACTGTGAAGTATGGTCAGTTGTGATTATGAACAAGATTGTGTACCAGGCCTTTGTGGGTCTGGGCCCTAAGCAGGCAGGAGATTTTCCAGAGATAATCAGAATCCAGAGACAGCATCACGTAGAATAGTACTTGGGACCACAGAAGGGTTTGTAGTTGTGTTGAGGGAAGTAATTGATGGAGATATCAGTTTGGCAGATTCTATTGAGACTGAGTCTTGGCATGGAGTGGGTTGGTGATTGAAATGGTTTGTAGAAAGATCAAATCAATTTAATAAATATGTACTCAGCACCTACTGTGTACTAGAAACTGCTTTGAAATCAGACAGTAAAATTACTTCTTATAAACTAAATGATTTTTTTTTTTTTTTGGTACTGGAGATTGAACCCAGGGGTGCTTAACCACTGAGCCACATCCCAACCTTTATTGTTTTTATTTAGACACAGGGTCTCACTAAGTTGCTTCAGGCCTTGCGAAGTGGCTAGAACTGTCTTCAAACTTGGGATCCTCCTGTCTCAGGCTCCCAAGCCACTGGGATTACAGGCATGTACCACCACACCCAGCTTAAACAGAATAAATTTTGATAAGTCATTTGGTCTTTCCGAGCCTCAGTTCCCTCCAATGTAAAATGAATATCATGATACCTTTACAGGTTCCCAAGCCCAAGCTCGTTGAGGGATGAATTGAAGCAATTAGAGATCAAAGAAAATTAGGCAGCTACAAGACTCCCACAGGCCTCCTTCTCACCTGACGCCATCTTCTCTGGCTCCCTCCCAGTCCTGCCTCTGTGAGGGCCCAAGGGCCTTGAGGGGAGGGGAGGAAATGAGGCCTCAAGAGCTTGGGTTCCTGGGGTTCACTCCCTTGTTCTTGACCAGGCTTCTTAAGGTTCACATTGGGCCTCGGTAGAGTCTGACTTCTGTCAAAGCAACCTATGGATTCCCGCTAACACACCGGGTGTGTTAGGGGTCCGGATGGTGTGAGGGGTTGATGAAGTGATGTAGTCACGAGGCTGTGGGTGAAAATGGAATTAATTTGGAGGAACCAAACTGCCTCTGGAGCTCTGCAGAGCAACAATGTCAGGGTGAGGTTGTCACTGTGACACGGCATAGTACGTGTGAGATAGGCTGCCTTGTGTTGGGCGCCTGGGTCTGCCCTAGCTCAGGTTCATCCATCCTTTAAACCCAAGACAAGCCTTTGGCTTCAGTTTACTCCTTTGTACAATGGGGATATCCTCTCTCATGGCTATTATAAATATTGACCGAGATTATGATGTGACAGTACAGTGACAAGTGACGGTCAGCACTAACATTTATTGAGCATCTACCATGCACCCAAACCCCACCCTGGGCCTTTTACGCATGATTTCCCCTTTCACTCCTCACTATAGCTCCTCTATGGAGTGGATGCTGTTTTAAATCTTCATTTAACAGATGAGAAAACTGACCATCAGGAAGATTTATTAACTTGCTGAAAAAAAATTGTCAAAGCAAAACTTAACCCAAAGCCTGCGGCCATAGCCACAGCAGCGGTCCTGGGAGGTGGCTGACGGGCTTTGACTCTACCCCACCCTGAGGGTGCACACGCTGGCTGGCATCATCTGGCTCTGCCCATTCCTGGCACCCTGCAATTTCCCTCCCAGCAGAATCTTTTGTGACCCTGACACAAGTGCTTATTTACCACATCCTCTGCTCCAAAGAAAAGTTGATCTCCCCAGGAGGAACGGAGCCAACAGTTCCCAGTGAACCTCTCAGGCAAGAGAAAATTCTGGTTTCCTCCCCCGGAGCTGCTTTCCAGTAGCATTAGCAGTGGTGAGAGGTGGACCAGCACGGTGCACACTGGAGCCTTCAACTTCTCCTGGGCTTTTCATGTCCAGTCACCCCTGGTCCTCCCACCTGCTCCATGCTACACCACCCTATGGACCAGGGCCCCACAAATAATAGCCTGCAGGCCCACGTCATCTGGCTACCCATTTTATAAATAAAGTTCTATTGGATCACAGCCACACCCAGTGTTTCTCTGTGGCTGCTTTTGTGCAACAGTGTACTTGTGACAGGGCACACACCTTGCACCCAAAACCTAAAATAGGTATTCTCTGGCCCATTAAGAAAATATTTTGTTCTATCTGTCATGAAACAGGGTTGGGAAGATCTGTTGGTTTTTCTCAGTATGGTGGAAGGAATGGAGGAGAGATTCAATGCTCAGCCTAACAGCAGAGCCTGTTCTTAGAGTCCCTCAGCTGTATTGCTTTCTGCTCTAGGCATGTCACAGAAGACATCTCTGAACCCCCAAAGCCCCTGTTATGGTTCAGATCTGAGGTATCCCCCGAAAGCTCATGTGTTAGACACAGCAAGAAAGTTTAGAAATGAAAGGATTGGGTTATGAGAGCCTAAATCTGACCAGTGCCTTAATCCACTTGAATGGGTTAACTGGGTGGTGACTATAGGCGGGTACGAAGGGGTGTGGCTGGAGGAGGTAGTGGGTCATGCCTTTGGGGTTTATATTTTGTCCTTGGTGAGTGGAGTAGTCACTTTCTCTGTTTCCTGGTGGCCATGTCCTGACCTACTTTCGTCCTCCACACTCTCTGCCATGATGTCCTGCCTCACCTTGGGCCCAGGGCAATGGAGTTGGCTGGCTGTGGACTGAGACCTGAAACCATGAGTCTCAAATAAATCTTTCCTCCTCTGAAATGGTTCTTGTCAGGTCTTTGGTCGTGAAAAAAAGACATTGATGGAAACAGCCCTAAGCCTGACTGGGTAATAATTAACACAAACCCAGTGCTGGGCAGATGCACTGGAGGGGCATGACCCTCTGCAGGCTGGCAGCCCCGACCCTCCCAGATGGGCCCCCGCCCAGGCCCCCGTTCTCATCTCCTCTTCTTCACCTTTCTGGGTGTCTGCTGCAGCTGGGACGCCCTCCTAGACCCTCCACATTCCACCTCCACACCTTTGCTCAGACCGTTCCCCAACTAGAACGTTCTCCTTTTCAGTAGTTAGCACGACACGCCCGTCTTCCCAGGCCCGGTGTGGGTGTTTCAATAAGTCTTCCCCCACTGTGGCAGCTCCAGGAGATCCCTTCGCATCTGTGCTAAGTCAGCACAARCCTCTGGTCCCTTCTGTGAACCCGTCACCCACAAAAGTAAGGAACACGGCCTCACAGGTGAGATGCAGACCTGAGGGGAGAGTGAATCTGGTTCCTGCCAGTAAAGACTTTAACTTGACTGGGCTCCATCCTTTATGTGCTGGAAAGAGCTGCCAAAGGTCCCTGCCATCCATCTGAGACTTTAGACAAGTCACTTAAACTCTCAGAGCCTCTACTGCATCGGTAATTGTAACTGACACTTACTGGAGGCTGTGCCAGCCAGGGCAGGGCTGGCTGCTGGTCATGCATTATCGCCTTTAAAGGTGACCCTTGACCTCAGGCCTCACAGGGTGGTATGAAGACTGAGTGTGAAGAGGCTGAGTTAGGAGCCAGGAGTCCCCAAGGCCTCCCTGGGTCTCAGTAACTTTGCCAAGGGACCTCTTCCCCTCTCCAGGTGCTGGTTTCCTTTTTAATGGTGAGTCGGGGAGAAGGGGCCTCTGTGATCCAGATGGACCCTTCAGGGTATGATACTGAAACAGCACAAACCATTTTGGTTCACACTCCTATAGAAGAGACGCGGCGTGAGCCTTCAAGATGACATTAAATAATCCATGAGCCTCACTGCGTGAAATGCTTCTTCAAGTTCACTCTAGAGACACAAAACATCCTTTGGCTTCAATGCAACAGAATTTGGTGGAACTAGAGAACACTGGCTTTCTGCTCACTCAACAACGTCTGATCTCTGGCCACCACCCTTGTCACTGATCTTGACTCTGAAGTCTAGCATCTGCCCCATGTCTTACTTGTATTTTGCAAAAAAAAAAAAAAATTTGGTTGCAGGTAACAAAACACCAATATAGACCACCTGATAACACCCCCAACACACACACACACACACACACACACACACACAAAATAATAATAATAATAATAATTTGCATATATATCAGTTCGTGTGATTGGGAAAACTTCAGGTATGGCTGAATCCAGATGCTCAAAACTGGTCTCAGGTCCCTGTGTCTTAGCACTTCCTCCCTGCTTTTCTCTGCAGGAGTGTGATTCGCAGACAGACTCTTCATTATTGTCATCTTTGGGAGCCTCAGGCTTACCACCTCCATCTTCCGGTTGAGTAGAGAGTCTCTTGCTAAGAGTTCCAACAAAGCCTCAGACTGGACTCTCATTGGTTTGGCCCGATTTCTTTCTTAGCCCTGCTCATAAGCAGGCCTGTGTTGGGTATCCACATTTGGCACCAGGGAGGGGTCATCAGCCCATCTCAGGGCCAGGGTGATCACAAGCTAGAGAAAGGAATGATAGGCAAGCAGAAATGATAGGTGCACCTGAAGGGTGCTATGCTTGAAGATGCAGCTGTCACATACCTCTGGGCCTTTGCACATGCTTGGAATTCCCTTTCCCTTTTCACCTTCCAGCAAAATTTCTACCTAACTTTGGAAAACAAGCCCAAATGACATGGTCTGTGGGAAGCCTTCACACATGTGCATGCACCCTCACCCACACCCATACCCCGTGCACATACTCCATCTCTGCCCTAGCACTCACCAGCCCTTGCTCCCCTCACCCTCCAGACACTCCAGGGGCAGGCATGGCATCTTGGTCCATTTTGCTTCCCAGATCCCAGCAGTTGCCCTTCGAGGTAAGAGATGCTCCCTGAGGTCTGGGTCATCAGGGTATCCCACTACCAGACTGGTCGGACCCATTTCAGTGCTCAGCCATCTAATGCTGCCTCTGTTCTCTCTGTCCTCAGTTTGAAAACGAGATCATCCTCAAGCTGGACCACGAGGTGGAAGGGGGCCGAGGCGATGAGCAGTACGTGCAGCTGCTGGAGTCCATGTGAGTGCAGGCCACACGGGCCAGGGGCTGCAGGCAAGCTCCAGGGTCCCCACATGGCCGTCGTCCCTAGAGACCAGTCTAGGGCTTGTGGGGACCAGGAGACGCCTTTGGGGAAGGAGCTTCACATTTCTCTCTGCATTGGACATTTCTTTGATGTTGACATAATGGGCCAGATAGAAAAAAGCTTTGCTGTGTCAAAAAGAAAGAAATAATCCATCAATGCCAAAATGTCCAGGCTGGGTCTGAACTGCGGAATAACGATTGCTCTTTTCCTTTGAAATTTGTGACAATGAAATTTGTGACAATGAAATTTGTGATATTGATTTGATGAGATCCGAATTTACTGAGTGCCCCTGGGGCACCGTATTGTGCCAAGTGCACTCTCTCTCTCATGCCTCCCCAGCTTAGGTATGCTCTCCTGGATCCCCGTGTCACAGAGGTGGCCTCTGAGGCTCAGGGAGCAGACGTATTGTCCCAGCAAGCTGGGAACAGCTAGTGGAGTGGACAGCAGGGACTTGAACCTGGCTGGACCGGACTTCTGTGCTCCAGCAGGCCCGAGGCAGACAGTGGGTAGTACTGTGCCCAAGACCACCAGACTAGGAGTCAGGACGTGGTTTTGTTTTTACAGCTTTATTGAAATATAATTCACAAGCCATATAATCTACCCAAAGCAGAGAATTCATGGACCTTTGACATTTTCACAGAGCTGTGCCACCATCACCATAGTCAATTGCAGATCATTTTTATTGCTGAAAAAAAGAAACAGGTACTCTTAGCCACATCCCCATACACACACACACACACAACTCCTCCATCTCCCTTAGCCCCATTCAGCCCGTGCTCTGCTTCCTATCCCTGTGGACTCACTGATTCTGTGTATTTCATATAAATAGAATCATACAATCCATTGCCCTTCATGACCAACTTCTTCCATGTAGCATAATGCTTTCAAAGCTCATCCACATAGCGAGCATGAGTGCAAAATTTATTTTTACTGCCAAATAAGAATTCACTGTCTGTTTACTAATTTTGTCTGTTCATTAATCAGTTGGTGGATATTTAGGCCATTTCCACGGTCTTAACTGTTAATTAGGACTGACTCTGCCGTGAGCATTCATGTGCAAGTTTAGGTCTTTTTGTTTGGGGTTTTTGTTTTTGCTTTGGGTACTGGGAATTGAACCCAGGGGCACTTAACCATGGGGCCACATCCCCAGCGCTTTTATTTTTTGAGACGGGGCCTGGCATAGTTGCTGAGGCTGGTTTTGACCTTGTAATCCTCCTGCCTCAGCCTTCCAAGTTGCTAGGATTGCAGGTCTGTGCCTCCATATCTGGTCCATGTGCCAGTTTTACGTGGACATATGTTAACAATTTTCTTGTTTTGTACCTTAGAGAGGAATTGCTGGGTCTTGTGGAAATATAGAGACATTTAACCTTTTGAGATACCACCAACTCTTTTCCAAAGTAGCAGCACCAAATACAGTCTCACCAGCAAAGCAGGAAGGCTCCCGTTCCCCACAACCGTGTTAACACTTGCTGATGCCTGTCTTATTGGTCATGGCCTTGCTAGTGAGTGTAAATCGATAGTTCATTGTGGATTTCATTTGCATTTCCTAAAATCTAATGAGGTGCATCATTTTGCTATGTGCTTATTGGCCACTTTCACATCTTTGGAGAAAGACATTGGACTTGAATCCTGGCTCCCTACTTTGCAGCTGCATGGCTTTGGGCAAATCATACAACCTCTCTGGCCTCAGTATCCCCATTTCTAAAATGAGAAATAATAAGCTCCTGTGGTTATTTTGAAGACTGAGTAATCATAAAGCATCTGGCTCCCAGCAGGTACATGCTTAATAAATGTACTTCAACCCCTCGGCCTGACTCCCAGTTTCTGTCTTTGGCTGCTTGGTAATTGCCCCCCTGCCCTGGAGAGGCCTCTCCCAAGGCTTAGGAATGTGGCYAGACAGCCCAAATTTCCCCCAACTGTGTACTCTATGATTTGAGGGATGCTCTGCTTTTGAATTCTTTCTCCAGTCCTTTCTGAATATTTAGCAACCACAGCCAGCTAAAGACTCAGCTCTGAGCCCTGTAATGACACTTCCACCCTGCCCAGCCCATCTGAGCCCAGTGGACAGAATGGAACCCCAGGTAGCAGAGGCTCAGCTGTTCCCTGTCCCTTCCTGTCACTGTGCTCAGCCCTCCTGAACACCTAGAATACAAACCAGGTTCGCTGGGAGGAGCTACCGTCTGCCCCCGCCAAGTGAATATGGAGAGTGATCATTCAGGGACAGAAACAGGGTTTTGCCTGAGTCAGTGATTATCTTTAAGTTCTAAAAAGGAAAATCTAAATATTGACCAGGAACGGAACCATGTATGGTGCTGGCAATTTCCATTTTTATAAGCGGACGGGCTCCGCAGCAATCTTCAGACTATCAGCAGGGTTTTCAGATCCTTCCTGAGTGGTTATTTATAAAAGGAGCCCTTAGAGGTCGAGGAAATTAAACTCAGCTCATTATTTTCCTTCTGAGACAAGGTGTGAATGATTTTTATGCAAAACTAATCAAGCCCAACCCAGCCTCCTCAGAAGGCCCAGTGGGCAGAGTCCCACCTCCTTCCTTTGACCTCTCTGAGCCTCAGTTTTCTCAACTGTGCACTGGAGTTAGAAATATTAGTCACCTCTTGAAGCTTGTGTTGGGACTGAATGAGGAGTTGTGTCAAGTGCTTAGCATGGTTGCTATTTTTCTTCCTTTTCGTCTTAATTTATTACCGTAGTTCCTGACACCTACTAGGTGCTCCTGGAGTCTTAACATTATCGTCATTCAGATGGGCAGCAATGTGGCCATTGGAAGTCATAGCCCATTCATCTTTTCCAGCTCCTCAGTCCTTCCTCCCYGTCCCTTGTTCAGGGACTCCATAGGTATGTAGGGTCCCCTCTGGGCAAGTACAGAGCTTGGCAATGAGATGGTGTCTTTGTGACCAGAACAGTCCTGTGGCAGCTGCAGCCATACATCCAGGTGCAAGACTTGGACATGGAATGAGGCTGAATTTCAGTCCWCATGCCCTTGTGCAGTACACAAGCTGTACAACCCCACACAGCACCCCAGTCCTCCTACCCGCAGGGCTTTTCTAGAGCCCGATCTCATTAATCCACAGCTGTCTTAAATCATGAGTCCCACAGTGGATGGAGTCATAAGACACACCCCTGCTGCATTAGCTTTTCATCTCTGGGATCAATAACCTGATGAGAACAACTTAGAGGAGGAAAAGTTTATTGGGAGGGCTCATGGTTTCAGAGGCTGAGTTCATGGTGGGCAACTCCACTGCTCTAAGTCCAAGGTGATGGGGGACATCATGGCAGAAGGGCATGGCAGAGGGAAGCTGCTCAGGCCATGGCAGCCAGGAAACCGAGGGGGTGGGGCAGGAACAAAATGGGATCTCCAAGACATCCCCCAGTGACCTCCTTCGCCCAGTCCTGCCTGCCCACAGTTGCCACCCAATCAACCCTTCACGTTATTAATCCACCAAGTGGATGAACCTACTGGTTAGGTTACAACTTCATGATCTAATCATGTCACCTCTCAACAATATTCCTGAGCTTCAGGGGCTCCTCACACCGACTCCACAGCACCTGCTACTTGACTGCAAACCTGGGGATGTTCTTGGAGGTACTGAGGGAGCTGGAAGGCTGAAGGAGACACAGCGTGTGTTCTGGGCCTAGAGCCTACCCAAACCAGCTCAGTGGAAAAGCAGCTGTCACCCCAGAGGCACTCCATGCGTACTTCCTAAAGCATTGACTCAAAGTCCAGTTCCACAGCCCTGACAGAAGGTGGGGGCCCCCAGGCTGAATGCAGGCCAGTCCCAGGGACGCCTGAGCTGGCAGCAGCCCAAGGGATGCCTGAGCTTGCTGACCCCAAGCAGTAGCAGAGGTGGGGAGCAAGTGTGCACCCCTCCTTCCACTGAGTGAGGAGCTATCCTCCTGAGCCCAGGATTCCCAAGTTTTCTCACTGCCACTCCCACTCTGCCATGGGACTCCAAGTAAGTCACAGCTGTGTGTCAGGATCCACATCAGGACTTGGAGGTTACAGTAATGCTGAGGAGCTTTTGTGGATATTAAACAGGATAATCAGTGAAACGGGCTTAGCACCATTCTCAGAACACGGAAGCACTCAGTAAGCGGTAGTGTCACAGCCCACAGTAACTTATCTCTGTGTGTGTGTCCCCTCCTGCACTAGTATCTCATGAAGGGCAGGGTCTTAACAATGTAGCAGTCCCTGGTGTCCAGAATGGTACCATGTGGAATATATGGATGGGTGATGGATGGGTGATTCCTGTCTCCCCACCATCTTACCAGCTCTAGACTCTATTAGCAGCCTTCTTGCCTCATGCATAAAAACAGAGAGAAAGTAAAAACAGCCAAGATCTTATTCTTCTAAAAACCTTGCTTCACAAAGCATGATCCCTGAAGCAGCAGGATTGGTGTCACCTGGGAGCTAGTTAGCAAGTCAGGCTCCCAGGTCCCAATCCAGACCTGGTAAATTAGAATCTCTTGGATGATGCTCGGGTGATTTCCATCACACTGAAGTTTGAAAGCACCAGTGATTCTCCATGTTGCYTGCAGGTTGAAATCCCCTGAGCTAAGAGACCCTACGGTGTTGCCTGAGGCCCTCGTCTGAGGCCCTGGGATGCCTGGGAGGCCATGAGAAATCCCACAGCAAACTCTGGGAAGAAACTTCTTTGTAGTTGTGTTGTCCTTGGGGTCGGGAGCTGGGCTGGAAGTGGCTGCTCCAGAAGGGAGCAGGCACAGCTGCGGCTGAGCCAGACAGGTGTAAATCACAGGGCCATTTGCACCGCTCATGGACAGGCAGGCAGCAGGTGCTTCTCCCAGCACTAAGATGGATTTGTCTGAGCCCCGCCACAGTTTCAGACACCACCTCCTTGCAGCCTGTTGCGCTCCCTGGTGGGAAGAAATCACGTGTAGATTCCTGGTTCGTCTCACCTTGGCCTCCTAAGAGCTCTTGGAACTTACACTGCATGGGGAGCCCGGCTGGAAACAGTCATGGAGTCAGGTGCTGCCTATCCAGCAGAGACGCCCAGGGACAGGCCACCAGGCTTCTTTCGCGGAAACGCTCTCCCCAAATTGAACAGCAATTGGCTTGATTCCAAAGGTCATCACTCAAAGGTACTTCCAGTGTAGCATGGGGAAGGTCTTTTAGCCCTCCTGAGCCTCGGTTTCCTCATCTGCAAAATGGAGGAAACAATTTTTACTTGTCAGAACTTCTATGAGGATTTCTAATGAAAAAGGGACTCATGTAGCATCTGGCACCGAAAAAGTGATTAAAAAGAAGTGGTTATTCATCAGAGTTCCAATTCATCCGTCTTTCCCTTTCTAGCCTGCAGGCTGCCTGGGGGTAGACACAGTCTTCCCAGATTGATGTCTTTCTCCCCACCATACATGCCTTGCAGTGTCTGCTGGGAGAGGCTTAGGAACATCACATTTTGTATTTTCATTTTAAAAATTTATATTAATATTATAATGCAGATTATTTTTTTCAAGTAATATACCCATATTTAAATTGAAAAAAGGTTTTCTCCTCTGTTCCTCAACTTTGACCCCTCAGAGAAGCTACCATGGCTGAGCACTTGGTGTTTGTCCTTCCTGACTGTGTGTCATGCTCCACCATGTGGTTAGCACATGCGTGGTGTTGGGTGGTTGAGACACGGGACCCTGGAACCCGACTGTTTACCAATGGTGTGACCTTGGACAAGTTAGTTGACCTCCCCATGCCTTTGTTTCTTCATCTGTCAGTCTCATCTCATTAAAGTGTGATGGGGGGTCAGACGAGCTAATATCTGTGAGATGTTAAGAAAAACACTAGGACTCAGTGCTATGCCCATTAGTTAAATTTTTTWAAAAAATCATTCAGCAACTTGACTCACTTAACTATATATTTTATACAGCTGTTAATATCAAAACAGATTGATCTCTCTAATTCCTTTTAATGACTTCATAGAATCACATTCTGTGAATATACCTTAATTTATTTAACCATTTTTTCATTGATGGACATTGAAGCTGGTTCCAACTATTTCAGTATCAGCTGCAATTATAAGTGCTATAAATATATCCTGGCATACTGCTGGGAATATTCCTCAGAGCAGATTCCCTGAAGTAGAGTTGCTGGGTCCAGGGATGCGAGCGTTCAGTGTTGATAGACAGTGTGGAAATCGCCATTCAACCAGGGGCCCTGCATACTTCCAATGTGAGTGTGTGAAAGTGACTGTCGCCCCTCTCCCACCATGCACACATTGAAAAGTTTTTTTACTTTAATTTTTTCCCCATTTTAACAGTAGAAAAGTAGACACTACACTGTATGAGTAAATACATATACAAATGAGCAAAAGGAACCATTCACAAACCAGGGGAGTTTGGACTGGCAGGACCCTTTGGCTTGGGCTACCCTCCACCCACCACAGTCTGTCCCCTGTCCATGAGCTCACCACTTGTCTCTGCCCGCAGCCTGATGGAGTGTGCCTCAGAGCACCCCACCATTGCCAAGTCAGTGGAGAACTTTGTGAACCTGGTCAAAGGGCTCCTGGAGAAGCTGCTGGATTACCGGGGTGTGATGACCGACGAGAGCAAAGACAACCGCATGAGCTGTACTGTCAACCTGCTGGTACGTGGCCTGGCGGGTGTCTCCACTGTCCATGTCTGTCCAGAATCAGAGAGGGGGGGGGCACTTAACTTTGTGTCTCACTCCTGTTCCTGATAGGGAGGTGGCTATAACAGCTTCAGAAATCAGACAGATGAGGGTCAGCACCCTTGCTCTACCACCTGGTAGCTCTGCATCTTAAGGTCTGTCTGTGCCTCACTTTCCTTATATGTGAAATGGGAATAATGAGCGCCACATTAGCCTTTAATACATTCCAAGGTAGGAAGATGGCGGTGGAGACTGGTGGACCATGTGAGTTTCAGAGGCACACAGCTCAAGGTTGTCTTTACCCTGGTGATTAATGAAATAGACCACTGCAGAGATGCTCTCCAGTTTTGGTTTGCTTATGTTATGTGGAGGAAAAGCAGCAGCAAGTTCATGGGTCCTGCCCCTGGGGAACTGTTCCGTGTGTGCTGGCTTCCTTCCTCTGGCAGGATGGAGAGCACTAATAACTAGAACTTAGAGACTACCATCSACCAACCAGCCAGAGCAGCTAAGGCTCTTGACCCTTCTATTGCAGGAGGCCAGCTCCTGACAGCCTCCCTCCTATGCTGGGTGATTGGCTCAGGAGGAGGTGGCAGCAGCTGTAGTGCTTCCTTCCCCCATATTGGCTGGACTTAAAATGCTTTAAATGAACAAAGCTGGCCAAGGCCCACATGGTTTCCATCACGTCAGTCCCCGCCACCCCTAGTGCTCTCCAAAGACAAGTCCAGTTCCCCCAGTTCTGTTGTGTGGCCTCCCCTTAGTCCACAGGGCCTCTCTTGCAGCAGCTTAGATATTGCCATTGATGTCCCCAATGCTGAAGGGAGTTTAAAAACTCTGACTACAGCAGAAAGACATTCAGCGCTGAGGACTCCACCAGGCCCCACTTACAGAAAGAGCAGAAGGAGGGCCTTTCCAGGAACTGAGGGTTTCTTTCTAAGGAGCAAGAGAAGCAGGTTGAAGAAATTGACCTTTAGCAGTCAGACTAGGACCAGGGAGAAAGCTTAGGGCGGGCAGTTCCTCCAGCAGTCAGACCCTACTAAGTTTGGGCGTGGGACTTGAATGTGGCGTCAAGGATCAGGGCAGGATGGGGGAGAGGTGCCTAGTGTGAGGAGAGCTAAGGATTAAACCAGAGTTTGCCCCTGTGTGGCTCTCAGACTGGATCAGGACCTCCTGGTTCCGATCTGTAAGGACTTGTATAAAGATGTCACAGGATTAGGATCTCAGGCATGGGAGCCCAGGACAACTACCAGTCGAAATGGCTCCTGGGCTGGAATAGGGACCAGCTTCCTAAGTCTGGCCAAGTGTAAATGCTTTGGGCTGTGGAATCCCATCACAGCTCTGGAGAGTTCTGTGTTCTCAGGGGTTATGATCTATTACTATTGCCGGGATGTTCCTACTATCTTTCCAACTCAGAACCACAGGCCTGAGCATTGTGACAACAGGCCTGAGCATTGAAAGAGGAAGCTGGGCTGCCCTTCAAAGCAGGCTGGCCCTGCCATGGAAGCACACCACTCAGCCCAGGAGAAACAGYTCAACTGCATCTCCTTACGTATTATGGCTGAGACATTTCCTTTGTCCCTCTATATTCAGAGAAGTGGCTTTCAAAACAGATTCTCCCAGTGAGACTGTAGGATGCATTCAGCAGAGTAGACTTCTCACTCCTATCTCAGGGTGCCCTGACAGTAAACAGCGACCTCTCTCTCATCCACGTTGCGACACCCTCTACCCCCACAGCCTTGCTCATGGCTGTTTTTCTTCCCCATCCAGAATTTCTACAAAGATAACAACCGGGAAGAGATGTACATAAGGTAAGATTCTTATTTTCTAAATTCAGCCTGCTGTGCTGCTCTCCTGCTGACATCCCCTGATGGTTCCCCGCTGCCTTCAGGATAGAGTTTGACCTTTTTCCTCTTGGCATTCAGACCCCTCATGTTCTGATGCCTATCAATTCCCCAGACCTGTCTCTGTCGATTCTTCCCCATAAGCCACTCACAGCTCTCCCACCTGTCTGTGGCCCTGCTCCTCCCTCTCCTGTGGGAAAGCTGTGAGCTGTTTGCATTTGTTACTGGTTGGTGTATGAAGCCCAGGTTGGTCCGGGAAAACTGTACAGCCATTGGCCAGCCCGGTTCCAAAGGGGAGAAGTACAGAGTTGCACAATGCCTGCTTCCTTCTAGGCCTTTAAGAGATACTTGTTTTAATATATCATGAAGGGTTTTAGGGACATTAGCCTGGAGCTAAGAAGTTCTCTGCCAATTTTTTTCTCAGAATCTCATATTTTTCTGCAAAGTTTTTTATTGTTATTTTTTGCTCATTACAAAAATAATATAGACTTTTTACCGAAACCAAATAAACTCATAAAAATACAGACAAGCAAAACAAAGCAATGAAATAAGTCCCCATAACCCGTACATACTTCCAGATCTTTCTGTGTTTATGCATATATCAAATTCTAGGCAAACATTACTTTTTGCAAAACTGGAATTACTAATGATTTATTATTTGCCCCTTTTTTTTAACTTGACAAGAATTCCATGTCAACAGATGTATTTCAAGATCATTTTTAATGAAACTATTAAATTTCCTTTCCGAAACAGACTATAATTTATATAACCAGTTCTATATTGTTGAACATTTAGGTTGCTTCCAACTTTTTCTCTAACAAACAGCACAACAACAGAATTCTAGGACATATACCTCTGTGCATATCGTTAGGATTCAGGAGCCCCTGTGGTGGAATCAATCAGAAGGTTAAGGAGCCAGGTATTTTTAAGCCCTTTGACATATTCAGTCAAAGGAAAGAGACTTCAAGACTAAACTCAGTCTGCTCTTACTGAAGATATTTTTAGGTTCTTAGTTTAATGTTATTCCAGAAGTAGGAACTTTCATTTGAGGGGAAAAAAATAATTAGAATTCTATAGGTTGTCCTGAGCTTGGGTCATTTATAACATCATTAGACATGACACTGTGGTAGCACTACGCTTGGGGACTGGAGAACTCAGGATCTTCTCCCTGTTTTCTCTGTTATGTTGGACAAATCGTCCCGGGAATTGGTTGAGGCTTGCCCATCTGCAGCGTGTTTCCATTGCACCTTCTGTTCGGAGGATGAGACAAGGTACTCTAGGTGACGCGCCTGGCATATGGTCTCTCCTTCCATCCTCTCTCCTCTGCCTCCCATTTTAGAAGCACAGATGGCAGATCCCAGACCTCTGCAAGCCTTGGAGACTTGGGGCCTATCTAGGAAAGCCATATTTGCCCAAACCAGACATCGCAAACAGGGGAGAGTCTGAAAACCTGTTCCATTTGGCAGGCATCGTATTTTAAAACAATTTTTAATTCGTTGCCAAATCTAGAGATTCTACATAAAAATCACAATTTCCTTCTTCTAAAAATCTCAGAGGGTTTGGCCACACTGGGGCCTCATCCCATCTGACAGCTCTCATGTGATGGGTGGTGATGACCCTTTCAGACATGGCAGGCGCCAGCCCCAGGGTCATGAGACTATCTCTCCCTGTGGTTCTATATCCCGCCTACCTCACTCAAGCATCTGGAGGTATTTGACCTGATATCCTAGTGAGCTCATTGAGATCCTCCCTTGGGCTCTGTAACAGAAGACCAAACCCTGGGATTCATTTAAAAACGGAGAGGGAGCCTTGGCCAATGCAGGAGTTGACCATAGCAGGAAACCTCTCCCTTGGGCCATGCCCCCATCCCAGTGTTAGATACAGCCTTCTAAGGGTCTAAGGAATCAATAATCAATAGAAAGAGATATAGCAAGATTAACCCATGTGTGCACACAGTGTTTCCAAATTCCCAGCTCTATCTGGAGGTCACACACAGCTTCACCACAGAACATTATGGGGAGGAGTGTGGACAGACTGGAAATAGCTGGGCTGGAACCTGCTTCTGCCTGTCTCTGGCTCTGGGTTGCTAACTAGGCTCAGACTTCTCGCCTGCACATCGTTGCTGGGATGGATGGATAGGCTACTGGTAATAATGTGCTTACTTGATGGTGGATCCTTCTGCCTGGGAGGTTGTCCCTCTTATGTCCTTCCCCTCCAGAGCCCAGCTCACCTAGTGGGCCAGAGCCCTCTCTAGAATCCCTTTCTCTCCCCCCCCAAATAAATATCACTCTCAGTCCATAGATCTCACCTTGGCAATATTTATCACAGCTGTATTTCTCAGGTATTCATTTGATAAATCGATTCACATCTAAATCTTTTAGGCTCTGAATCCCAAATGTAAGAACAGGGTCCATTTTTGCTACCTCTGATTTCCAATGGCCTGGTATAGCCTGAGTGCTCAATGCAACTCTACTGGGTGAACAAGGGAATGAGCCACAAGGCCCTGGGTGGCCTGGTTCACTAGCTATCAAACAATTACGAGATGACTGTCTTCTCCTCCAGACCTTTGACTGTCCCTAACCAGAGGTCGGGCAGCTGACATTCAGCCCAGCAGCTACATTTTATGTGGCCAGGGACATTGAATGTCAGCAGCTCCTTGCTGAGGTCTGTGCAGAAAGCCTTTCTTCCACTAGGAACCTGGACCTCAGCACAGGGACCTGCACTGATGCAGATGCTGGAAGCCCATGTTCCCCTGAATGAGGTGGTGGCTCTGGGTGAAATCCCACCACAATGGCTACAGCACCTCTCCTCCTGGAGGAAGAATCAAGCTTCTTTCCTTCACCCGATTACTAAAAGTTGGGTTTTAATAAATGTTCCTAATGTCATGCAAGTCACCAAAGCAGTGGTTCTTGGGCTCTGACTTCTGCTTCCAGCAGCGGCAGGTGGGAATGTTTTGTAGAAGAATGAGGTTCACAATGATAATAGATAGCAGCTGTCAGCACTCAGTGCCAGCTACAAGCTAATCACTTTCCATGCATACTTGCCTTTATTAGCAGCAATGCTAGCTGTCACTTATGGAGCCTTTTATGTGCCACTCATGATCTGCTTGGCCCTTTACATTGAACGGCTCTCTGGTGAGAGTTGCCATCTTGCAGGTGGGCAAACTGAGGCACAGAGAAGTTCACTGGCTGCCCATTGATGCCTGTTGTGGGTCAGTTATCTAAGAACTTACCAAACCTTCTTCCTTTGCTCCTGTCTCCAATACCCATCAATAAATTGCCATCCCAGGGTTCAGGAACTGGAATGTCACTTTGCAAAAGGACAGGACATAGGATTGAATGGTGGGTTCTCCCCATCAACAGCTCAGGGCCTCTATGTTAATGTCCATTCTCCAGCCCCTGGCCTCCCTCTTTTTACACTTTTTTTTATATTCAGAGAACAGAAGAGGGAGTAGGAGCTTTCCTTTCTAGTTGTTGGGGCCTGTTACCACCCCAGCAGGCCGACAGCGGTTGAGGGGAGGTGATGACCCACATTTCTGTTTGTCAGCCCAGGCCTTCTGACAAGTTCTCCCCACCCCTTCTCTCTCCTGCCTTTATTTCCCTGACTTGTCATATTGCATTGGCCGTATCTTTCAATATCAAGCTGAATGAATGCTGGCTGGGATGGTCCCCATTCTCCAGGCTGTGGCTTTATCATCTGAAAATGGGAGTCCCAGTGAAACCATCTCGTGGGCTTTTCATGAGGAATGAGTGATCCAAGGCATCTGGGCCTGATGCCCAGCAAATGCTAGCTGCTGTCATTATGAAGGCTCTCTTGTGACCTACAAATGTATACTCCTTCCTGTCCCTAGCAACACCTCCTTCTCACTGCTCCTGGAATTTGGTGTATTTTTCCCCAAACAGGTATCTGTACAAACTCCGTGACCTTCACCTGGACTGTGACAATTACACAGAGGCTGCCTACACACTGCTCCTTCACACCTGGCTTCTCAAGGTGCTGTCCCTTTGGATGAAGGGGGTCCAGGCTGGGAGCCACGTGGGGCCCTAACATGTTGAAGAGTTCAAAAAAAAAAAAAAAAAGAGGAAAAACAGCCAGATGCATTTTGTTTTGATCAGTGGTCCCAAAATATTGACCTGGCAAGATACTTTTCTGCCCTACTTCCCCTGATCACATAAGGTTTTAGTGACCTTTACATTTAGCAAATATAACCCCCCAAGATATATTTTGCAGTGTTATATAGCATCCTGCTATCAGCCATAAACCATTAGTGTGCTCACTGAACCGCTTTCATTCTCTTGAAAATTTTGCAATAGCTGGATGAAGTCAGATGATCTTCATTGGCTTTGGAAGAGCTGGGATGGCACCTCATCAGGGTCTAGAGAGTCCCTGCAAGCTACATAGAGTGAGCCAATGGAGCAAATTAAGCACCACTCAGCAAAAATCAGGAAGTGCTTTACAAAGGGAAATGGCAGACCGGCATCTGCCGGACTGACCACTGAGACCCAGAGCCACAGGGAGCCACACAGGGTCTGCAGGACCTCAGCTCTCTCCTCATCAGTATGTGTTCTGGGACATGGGTGCTAAAGAGCAACCTCCAAGCATCCTGGTACTCATGTCACAAAAGAGGGCAGCCTCCCCTGGGGGACCTTGAATTTTCAAAAGTGAGCTGGGTTTGGGAGAAGAGGAAAGAAGGAAAGAACACAGTGTGGGGAGGGTGTTTTCTGCCCTTCAATCCTGGGAAGACAACTGGCCGTGGCAGTCCCTTGGCCCTGGGTGACTCCCTGCGTTCTCTCTCCACAGTGGTCAGATGAGCAGTGTGCATCACAGGTCATGCAGACAGGCCAGCAGCATCCCCAGACCCACCGGCAGCTGAAGGAGACACTCTATGAGACCATCATAGGTTACTTTGACAAAGGAAAGGTAATCTGCTCCTGCCCCTCCCCTCTCTGTGGGGACCCTGGCCACTGGGAAGGACAGTTCCCTCCTAAACCCTACAACCTATCCATCCTCAGGAATGGATAGCTCTCCCTGCAAATCCTAAATCTGATCCCTTCTTTCCATCTTCTCTCCATCTCCACTTGAAACCTTCCCTTACAGGTATCAGAATCACTCTCTTGGCTACTACGATGGATCCTAAGCAAAGTCCCTGCCTCCCCTCCCACCCTGTGGATCATCCTCCACTCAGAAAACATGGCATGATCCTATCATGAGACAAGTATTGGATCGTGCCATTCGCCTGTCTCATTGGGGGAGATTCAGCGACTTCCCCATTCCACTTAGAATGCATCACTCAGTCCTTCCCATGATCCACAGGGCCTCTGTGAGCTGGGCCTTGGCTGCCTCCTCTCTGCCTCCCTCCTGGGAGCTCTCTTCTCACCTGCTCCATGCCAAGCTCCTTGGCCTCAGAGCCCTGGCACTGGCCCTTCCCAGCTAGGAGCATTTCTCCTCCCCCTTCCCACTGGAAGGCTGGCTCCTGCCACCACTCAGGGCTTTGCTTTGGGTGTGGCATCCTCAAAGGGGGTCTTCCCTGGCCATCTCCAGGCAGAGCAGCATTGCCCTGCCTTGGGTCACCGTTACTGCTTCTTCAAAGCACTCCCACCCTCGGACACCACCACATTTATTTTGTTTCTCTTGTTTATTGTCTGGCTCCCCAATTCAGAATGCCATGACAGAAGGACCCTGCCTTGTCCACTGATAAATGGCCAGTGGCAAGAACAGAACCTGACACACACAGGGACCAAGGACTTTATCCAGGGCAATTGAGTGGACTGAGTAGGTAGATGGCATGATGGCACCAGTGTGGGTCTGCAGCCCGCAAAGATTCTTGGTTGGGTTTGGCCAGGAATTGGGCAAACCAGCTACTGCCCAGCTCCAGATTCCAGTGGCCAGTCAGGCAGCAGTAGCCCAGAGGCTCCCATCATCCCACAGAGATTGTGGCCTGGCAGCTGAGCCCTCACCTCTGGAGCCAGACTCCAGGGTTTCATTCCTTGCTTCTCTACCCCCTACAGTTTTCTTGGCCTCTGCATGATTCCCGTTTTCCATCCATCATAGTAAAATACTAATAGGACCAACTCCCTGGTTGTAGGGTGGAAATGAGGTGACAAGATCCGCACAGAATGTCTAGCTTAGGAACTGTACATGGTGTATCTTGTACATTTCCATGATCATCATTGTTACCTGGCTCTGCCACTTCCTTTCCCAAGCCTCTCTCAAGCCTCCTGCTTACCCACAGCCCTGCCTCTCCTCTGGGCTGCAAGGTCTCCTCGGTTCACCAGGACACCATTTAACACTTAATTTTGGTCTGTCCTGCTGCTGCAGTTCATTTCATCTGTCTTGGTCTGATCTCCCCACCGTCTTGGAAAGATAGAATGAGGTAATGTCTGCAGAAGGGCTTATAAATCCCCCAGCACTGGGCAGTTGAGAAGACCATCTCATAATTTACAATGCTAAGCCTCTTGAGGGCAGAGACTCTGCCATCCCTTGAACCTCCTGCCCCACTGAGTGTCAAAGTAAAGCTTCTGGTTTGTTTATTAGCTGGTTAAGTCAGCCAGGATGGAAAAGACCCAGAAGGACCTGTAGGGCTGTGTCCTCCTCAAGGCATTCAGTGCAGTCTGCCCTGTGCCGAGCATGCCAAGTTCACAGACGCATGCCAGCCATTATAATGTTTGCATGGTGCCCTTTGTGTTGTGCAAAATGGGGGAGAGGGCAAGGGAAGAGGTGGTGCCAAAGCATTTGGGAGCAGAGAGGAGGCAGCAGATGGAGACAGCTCAGCCTGAAGACCACTTCTGTGGATGCTTCTAGAATGAAGCCTAAACTCCTTAGCACCCCATTCAGTTTTCTTTCTCCACACTTCCCGGGGAGACCCATTGCTATAGACACACACAATGGTTCTCCACTCCACATGTCCATCTTCCCATAACCTGACAGACTCCTGTACCCCCTCAAAATACAACCGTTACATTCACTGGTGTTCCGTGAGGGTAGAGATTGCATCTTGTCCATCCTCACATCTGCTCCATGTCTGCGGATGCAATGCCCATGAACCACCCCCAGAACCCAGCACCAGCAGCTCAGTAGTGAATGTCTGAGGCTCAAAGAGATCAGTGACCATCAGAGGCCCCAGGGGGACCTGGGAGGAAATCCAGGGCTCTGACTTCCTGCCGTCTCTCCTTCCATGGTCTCTTGGTGATCTTAACACATGGGGAGTTTCTTCTCCCCAACTGTATTAGGTGGGAAGTTGGTGAAGACCCGCACTTGAGCCAAACAGCCCTCGCTCAGTGAGGGGCATTTCCCCAACCTTCTTGTTCTGGGCAAAGCCTGCAGACTTGGTTCCTCCTGGCACTTTATGCATTTTCTGGGGCTCACTAAGCTATCCGTGGTTACAGCCGGGCTCCTCCATGCGGCCCTTGGTTTTATTGCATATGTGGTTGCAGAGAGAACACTTCTGCTACAAAGCTCACACTGCGTTTTGGCAACGGCCCTCTCTCCTCCGTGGCCTCCTCCAGCGTCTTCACTGAGAGGCATTTTCTATTTTAAACTGAATTGCAGCCCACCCTGCACCTCCCCCTGCCTGTCTGCAGAGGTTCAAGGCCTCCTTTAGTCTAAGATGGTGGGTACTCTTGGCTTCTCACCTAAAACAGAGCAGAGAAATTATTTTTGAAGATGGGGAAGATGTCCTACAATGTAATTTTAATCATTTTTTAATACTCTGAAATCACCTCTCCCTCTGCCTCAACCTGCTACCATGAAGCCAGACAGGGAAGACCCCAGGACTGGACATCAGGGCAACCAAGGTCTGGTCTAAACTCCATCTCCAGAAGCTCTCTGGCTCAGGTCACTTGCTCCCTTCTCTTTGGAAGGTGGGGCCAACATACCCCTGCCCAGCCTGCACCCTGCTGGGGTATCACAGGAGGAATGGAAGTTGGAGTGACAGCCCCAGGCTGGCATGCCGTCTCTGCTACTGGGCAGGCTCTTGACTGGGGCGGGCTCTTGCCTCCCTGAGCCTCCATTCTCACCTGGCCCATGAAGAGCCTGTTAGTTCCTCTCAGGGTGGTTAGAAGAAGCAGAGAGCATGGAAAAAGTAATTAGCCTACTCCATTATTCAYCAAGAAACTAGAATGAGAGGCCAGGGAAAGGCCATTCTTGCCAGGAAGCCCCCGGCTCCCTCCGTGAGGGGGGCAGGTCTGGGTGAGGCTACAGCTCAGTCTCAGGGACACAGCAGGGCTCAAGTCCCTCCCTCAGCCAAGGCTCCAGAAAGTTGGGGTCCCCATAACTTTGCTCCTGTGACCTTCCATAGATGTGGGAAGAGGCCATCAGTCTGTGCAAGGAGCTGGCTGAACAGTACGAGATGGAGATCTTCGACTACGAGCTGCTCAGCCAGAACCTGGTAAGGCGCCCTGGCCCTGGGGTAGGCCTCCTCTCCCCACAGATGTTGCAGAGGAGGAGGCTGGAGGCCAGGGGGGTTAGGAAAACAGAAGAAGAATGGAGGTGGGGCCTGAGTGAGGCGAGTGTCTCTTCCCGTTGTTTGGATGGAGCGTTAAGTACCTGTGTAGCACTGGGGCAGCTGCTGCTGCTGTGAACCTGTTCAACACTGCTACATTTGCAAAAAACACTCCCACAAATCACTAAACCAATTAAATAAAAACACTTATTTGTGCTTTTTGATGAGCAGATAAATCACATTAAAATGCTCCCCAACTGGCTTTTCCCTCAGAAGCATGTCAAGGCCCAGGACTTGGTAGGGAGTAGAAAGTGGAGGAGCCAGACTGTCCTGCCTGTGCCGCAGAAGCCAGGACATGGCGGGGAGTTGGCCTCTGCAAGGAAAAGGCAGAGCACTCACCTGCTCCCTGTCCTGTCCACACCCCACAAATTTCCTGGATGCCTGAGTGCCAGGACTTCAGGGCCTCTTCCAGTCCACTGAGACAAGCCAGTATAGGTGTTTCCAGAAAATGATAAAACGAGAGTCTGAATGTCAAGAGGAGTGATAGCTTTCTTTGAGTGGAGGGTGCAGGTGTGAAGAGCTGGTTAAAAACAACTGAGCTGTTAGCTGCTCTAAGACACGTAAGCTATGTTGCAAGTACACACACAGGTGCTTGCACTGGGAGACCCTTAATACCTGCCCCATGGGCACATCTGCATAGGTGTTTGTGGACATGGAAGCATGCGTGCCTTCCAGACACTTGCCTTCATGCACAAACACACAGACACACACCTATGATACACATCCCTGCACAGATCCCGGGTCATCCAGGCTCCTGTCTAGATCCACACGTCAAGTTGAAATTACCACTGATTTTGAGGTGTGCGCGTGTGTGCACGTGTGTGCACCTGTAGGCATGTAGACCACATCAGGGTTTCTATAGGGCCAACAGCCATTGTAAGATGCCATGAAGTGTAGGGTAAGATGGTTTTGGAGATGTCAATATATAAGAAATGCACACCTCTTGGGATTGATGAAATATGTCAAGTGTGCATACACAGGAAGACCATCTGCATCCAGAGACACTCATCCATTTGTGTATCCTCACAAGCATACACCAAGTGTGGGCGGAGTGTGAGCATGATCACCATGGTGGGTCCCCAGGAAGTAGCTGCCTGAACTTGGTTCTGTGCTTCCTGGAGGGAACCTGCAACCTGGAGGGACTTGTGGGATAGTGGTGAGGAGATGCATGTAAATAAATGAGCGCAGGTGGAGCACAGGACCTGGCTTGCCCTGCACAGAGCTGTCCTATTAGATTACAGACACAGCCGCAGGTGCACCATTCTGTGCACGCGGCATGTCGATCTTGACTGTGGCCTTTTTGGGTGGAAGGTACCTTGGATGCGCATCTGTGTTGTCACAGCCTGTGTTTTCTTCTTCCAGATCCAGCAGGCAAAATTTTATGAGAACATCATGAAAATCCTCAGGCCCAAGCCAGACTACTTTGCCGTCGGCTACTACGGCCAGGGATTCCCCTCCTTTCTGCGGGTGAGTTTGCAGGAAGCTCTGGCTAGGGAAGCAGGATGGTGGCATTTCAGGTGTCTCTTTGTCCTTTGAGGATCTGCTCCTGCTCAGATAGAAGCTCACAGCTCAGAAGCCAAGCTTTCCTCTGTCCCGAGTGCTGCCACCACCCCCAGGAGTCCTCAGCCACTCTTCCTGTCAGAGCCACCGCATCAGTCACCTGCGGTGTGTCTCTACAGCAACAAGGGCTTCCTGGAGAGGTTGTGAGCTCCCTCTGTTATTGGAAAGAAGAATTCAAAGAGACTGGAGGATGAGAGCTGCCCAGGGGTCAATACACAGCAGCTCTCAGGAGTTTTAGTCATAGGGTCTTGTTGCTCTTAAAAGTACTGAGAACCCCATATGGTACATGTGTTTTATGCACACGTACCATATGAAAACTAAGAAAAAGATTAAAATAATTAGTAATTTATTTTAAAATAACAATAATAAACCCACTACCTCTTAACATAAATTGTACATTTTTTAAGGAAAAATAGCTGTATCTTCCAATTTTAAAAAATAAGGGAAAAAAGCAAGATTGCTTTACAATTCTGCAAATCTCCTTGATGTCTGGCTTCAGGAAAGAGCTAGGTCCTCATCTGTTGTGGTCACACATCACAGAGCCTCTGAAGACCTCCGCCTTCTCCCGTGAGAGAGCAAGGGTGGGAAAGGCAAAGACAGCTTTTATTTTTTTTTTATTTTTATTTTTTTTTTATTGGTCGTTCATAACATTACATAGTTCTTAATACATCATATTACACGGTTTGATTCAAGTGGATTATGAACTCCCGCTTTTACCCCGTATACAAATTGCTGTATCACATCAGTTACCCTTCC